AAAAAAAACCACACAACTACTTATGTAACAGTAGTGAAAGAGCTCCACATAAAGATCCTGTGTGCTGTGTCTACCTCGAATATCTTAACCAAATTAGCACAGCTTATTAGCAGCCGTAGACATAAATAGTTGGCATGTGACTTCCTTTGGGGAAAAATGTTTTAGCTGTACTCTGAGATCATACACAGTTGAAAATGTTAGTTAATACTCTTTGAAGATTTTATTACAGTGGAACCCACTTAATTCTCACATCCCAGTGGAATCCAAAACTGTGCAGCTTAAGTATTTGCCTCAGTTATTAGAGAGTGTTTATGTTATGTGCATTCGAAGTTTTGCTTTCCAGATTTCTTTCAGAATAAGCAGTATATGTTAGTGACACGTCCTTAAAAGCAGTTGTCGTAAAGCAGGTGAGCAACATAATGTTGTGAAAGGTCTGTATGGCACAGAAATATGTCCCGCAGAAGAATGCATTCAGTTATTTGCAGAAGAAAATCTTTCAGATGTTTCTGCTGCTGATAATTCAAAACATTGACAAGTTGCTCTACTTGAGGAAATGGAAACCTGACGATCTCAGAACTGTACCTATCAGTCCAGTCACTCATTAACTCACCTACTACCAATTTGGTTACTAAAAAGGTTTTCATTGTTCCTAAAAAAATGATTTCACTCTCACATGCTCAATACAGTCATCTCTAGTACCATTATTTTTTGTAGCTAAAGTAATGGAACCTGATCAAAACAGAAATACAGAAAATTATTACCAGGTTTAATCATTTAAGCAGAGTCCGTAGGAAGAAAACAGTATTGATGTATTGATTGACTATATAAGATGGTGAGTTGATTTACATATGGTACATTATTTATTACCGTTTGTTTAGCAAAAGCATCTAGTAGGATTTAAATGCTTAAATCTTCTGATCTCACATGTATTCCTGAGTTTATAAAATTCACCGGTACGTACCTGAATACATGATTTGTCTATGTTCTTCATTAGCATTAAGAAACTTCATTTTCATGTAACTTAATTTTAGTATACTGATGGGAAATGTTGGTGTAGATATTATCTGTAGGAATTTTGTAAATCCAGGACTTTAACCTTTTGAAAAATGACCTCTCCTTCCTCAAGAAGTGTTGTAAAATTGTGGTAAAAATGGTTGAAGTTAGCTATGATATAGTAATTTTCATTGAATAGAAAACAAAGTCAGTTGCCATTGGCTTCATTGATACATGTCATCTATGTCTTGACTTACTTCTTTTGAAATTGACACTTAGGTTAGTTACTTTCAAGTTAATTGATAATGTGCACTATGCTTGATTAAATTAACTGCAGTGCACAGTTGTGGTCTGTTTCTTCAAAGTGGGCTATCTATAATGATATGAATTACCTTGAAGTCACCATTGATTGTCCATGTTAATGCAGAGGGGCGGAGTTAATTTAAGACAGCATACATTATTTTTATTATAAAATAAGTGGTGTACTTTTTATGTTGAATTATAGCAAAACTGTTTGTTTTGATGGTTTGAAATGAAAGAAGTGATTGACACGCTTTTATAAGAAATACGCAAACTCCCATTTCTAGTGAAGAGTATTTGAAAAAATGCCCATGACATACTGTATGTTGATCAAACGAGCTTATCAAGTTATATACTCATTGCAGAATTTTGAC